ATACTGATAATAATGATAATAATAATATAAAATGATGATAGCACGAATAACGAACAAAAATAACAAATTTAACAAAACCTTCCCAATATTGCGCATCAACACCTCCTGACAACTGTTCAAATCCCTATAAAAGACCATAAACTCGCCGATGGTCATAATGAACATTCGCATTATGGATTCAGCTGGATTGTCGAGAATATTATCCACTCGACTTATCGCAACGCCTTCTGATTCTGCTTTGGCTCGAGTACACGACATGAAGATTATGTAGAAGCCTTAATTGATTGTCATCGTTTTTATTATTGGATTACTTTGACGGGTCGAACCTTCAGCTATTGTATCGTCGAGCACAGCTAACTATCCAAATATTTGTATCAATCGTTTTAATTTTCCACTACTGGCCTTCCTCACCCCCTCCCTTCATGCCATTTGACGGATTCACCGCGTCAGTTCTCGGGAGGTCACTCGACAGGTCATTTCAAATCTCTCGGATATCCTGGCGACATGTCCTACTCCCTTCATCACTCACTCTTCTTCAATGGGATCCCATCTCATTCATCTATCACTGAGCATCAATCACGTACCTTGCGAAAATCCAATTAAAAAGATGGCATATATAAGAAAGAAACGACTGAGATCTCGCGATAGGATTGTGTATATCATCAACACAAACGGACCGATGAATTTCAATGCCCTGAAATAAGTAACCGAATAAAAATTCATAAAATATAACACATATTTGCTAGCGTTTCGATAATAGCATTAATAATAATGAAGATTAATTTAATAATGATCACTTTAATACTAATAATAATCAGAATAATGATAGTAAATATCATGATATTACCTGCAATAGAATAAGAAGTGCACACCAGTAAAAAGAACAGTCATAACAGAGAGCACATTATCAAGCAATAGAAAATCTGCACTGAAACAACACATCAAACGGATTGGTACGATTAACAGAACGAATATAAACGAAATTTTGTAGCCGATCTTCGCTGGAAATGATTTCTGAAATTTATTTACGGTCTCATTGAAATGAACAAAACATTCAGAATCATATGGATTCAACTGAATATGATAACTGACACAATGAATCATTTGAATGTTATATCAAAGATTACTTTCATTACTGAATATGTTATCAATGTTATATCATTTGACGAAGATTACTTTCATTTTAGTCATTCATTACACCTGATCACATTCATCATTTATGATTCGTCGAAGGGATCGGAATGCTGAATGGAATCATCGTTGATTTCAATTTTATTATTTTATATTGCATAATTTAAAATAACAAAAAACACAAGTTATTCTCGGAATGGGCGTTTTGGCGCAGGCAATTTCAGTGCGGTGATATTCAGCGCGCAAGATAATTCAGGTTTGGTAGCAGTGAGTCCAGAATGATCCTTTTCTTCCGCTCAGGCATGCAATGGCTAGCCTTGAACACCGCCGTATGTTCATTACTATCTACCAAGAGGATCGGCGTCAAAACCTAATTCAAAAATTTANTGCAGAATGTTTACGGTAACCAGTTCAGATTAATGCCTGGCTATGAATCCGTTTGTTTGTTGACCACGTTGGATGAGTTCGGATAGAGCAATCGAAATCGCTGTTTATTTATGATTTCTTATTGATACAGAATGATTTCTATTGACCCTTCTCGATTGTTTCGAAGCATTACGTCCAGCATTCACTGGACAAACTGTGCTTTTCTGACTGTACTCAGACCCCCTTTCACTAGTACAAGTATTAAGCAGAACGGGAGAGCAGTGCACATTAACATCATAAAAGGAAAGAAGCATGAAGAATGTACTGTTATTGGTGACATCACTATTGTTGACTCAGATCAGGTTGCACATACAACATTCTCGTAATGGGCTATTATTGTGAATGCTGATTGAATAAATGAATGAATATAATGGTGATGATGCATATATTCATGCAAATCAACCAACTTTGATGTGTGTATAATTAAGCAATCTCCTACCGAAATGATTAATACCTTACCGAAATGAAATGATACAAATAAAGCAAACAATGATAATGACTGACCAACACTTGCCACCATCTCTTTTTGCCGATACTTCGGATATCGGATATCTCGACCCCGATCTGCACAAGAACCATAATCAAAACTGCTGGTTCAGCGATCAATCGAACCTTAATCGTGTATCATATTTATTTAGTGTTATATAAATAAAAGTGAATAATCAGCTCAAAAAAACGCACATATTGTTGCCATCCTCGATCGAAATACCACCACAGCTGACATAAGTCTGTTGATAACCATGTTTGTTCTATAACAAGCCATATTCACATTATCACTGGTGTTATCACTAATCGCTATCAGTAGTGGCATGAAATCATCAAAATATGGTGCAGATATGAGTAAATGAATGCAACTGTTAGCAAAACAATAAAAAACGATACCAATATTCTTGAGAATCAATTCGGATGCAGTTTGACGTGCGATCGGTGGAGTGGTAGTGGTGAAGTACTGGAGAGTGTGATCGAGAAGCGTTGTGACAGTGATTTGAAAACACGGATAAGGATTCTGATCGTTACACACTATTGACGTGTTCATTCCATCGATGTAATTATGCGTTATCACCTAGTTTTTAATATTAACACTACTATTATATATTCTTGACATTATTATCAGTGTTATTATTGATGATAATACTGATAGCATGATTAGTATTCTGATGTATGATAATGACTCGAACATTGAGTGGTTGTTTTGTCGATCGCTGTAAGCGTTCAGCGGAATATATGTTTTATTAGAGCTATGATTATTTATTGGATTGATATCTATGTACGATTAATTATGCAAGGTATTCNCCTGCTCGCCTAGCCAGCGGGGTAGCGTAAATTAAGGCTAAAACAATGTGCACGGAACGCGAGCATTGTGCCCAGCAACGTTATGAACCATTTGATAGCCTGCTTGTCAATCCAGGTAATGCATGTAATGATAAGGACTCACTTGAGTGGTCATCGAAAACGGTCGGCACATAAAAGCCATGAAGAGGAACGTGTAATAGAAAAGGAAACAGCAAAATGATGTTGATAATCTGTAAGCAAATTTACTTCATTACTTATTTTTTGATTCTTGCTGTTGTTTTTTTGATTGGTAATCAGTGGAAAGAATCAATCAAATTGTTAATTCAATAAACAGTTGAATCTGAGTTGAAGCTTATAGTAAATGCGTTTTACGAGCACAATCTTCGCTAAAAACTCGCTTCAATTTACAACCTTCAATTTATGAAAGGATTTATGACCGTTTTCGATCAAATTTGTGGCTTTTTCAAGGCTATAGACGGCAATCACCGTGTGAGAAGACTATCGAAGACGTACGAGAAGATTCACAAGGCAATTTTCACATCATTTTATGGCAGTTTTTTTTTGGCGTTGAGGGCAGTATTTATCCACAGTATCTTTTTTCGGTCCATTTTTGATGTTCAGCATAATATTTTGACGCTTTCTGATCTTGTTTACTTCAAGCGGTGCTTTTTACTTGTTCAATTGGGCAAAAGCCGTGTTTGTGAAAGAATATTTGAGCCTTCTCAAGCGATAGTGAAGAGATGATTTCATTTGCATGCAACTCGAAGCTAGAACGGTGCTTGAATCTATGAATCATGAACTGCTTCTGCCGGTGAACTTTCAAAGTTGTTAAAAGAGGTCTATGATATAGCATCGCGAAACACTGATCCAAAAATTATCAAACGATTCCGAGTAAACATTCTATTTTCCACTTCTTGATTACGTTCTGAATTCCAGGAACAGTCTGTTGATCGAATTGTTGATAGTAAATGACCTCAGTATATATTAACACTAGCAAGAATTGGGTTGGCTAGAACGAA